AGCCTCAAGAAAAAAAAATCCTCCCATCTTTTAAAACTCTTAAAAGTACAAAGCAGTTAAAAAAAATCTGAACTGGTTCCTTGATGTGGGATTTCCAGCTCAGGCGTGTCCCGTCTCATTCCCATCAGCTACCGTTTGCTGACGCCATTGTGATTACAGATCAGATAAAACACAAAGAATTACAGAAATCCAAATGATGTCTTTAAGCAGAAATGACTGTCTTAAAGTCTTGTAATGAATGTAGGCCTTCACGTCACTTTAACTCATCCATCCATCCATTTTCTTTACACCCTTGTCCCTCATTGGGGTCCAGAGGGTTGCTGCTGCCTCTCCAGCTAACGTTCTGGGCGAGAGGCGGGGTATGCCCTGGACATGTCGCCAGTCTGTCGCAAGGCACACTAACTCAGTGAAATCATAATATTTGTAGTTTCTAGGTGTCGTTTCCTCAACTGGTCAGCAGGTGGCAGCAGATTTCCAGACTTTAATCTGACAGAATGACTCAGAAGAAGCCGGGCTTAGACACAGGATGCCCATAATCTACTCTAGATGCTCAAATCATTCCTGACCTACTTCTTCTTCCTGGGAAGAATTGATCTGATGGTGCGACTGGTTCTCAGTTTATTCTGCATTTCTTCGCTCTCAGCTCTTTCCTGGTAATCTCCGCAGACGTCAACCATTGTTGTGAAGTCACCTGGTGCAAAAGGTGCTAAATTATCGCAGATGTTGATTTTAGTCTGGCGTCTATGTAAATGCTGCTGTGGAAAGAGAAGTGGAGGAAATGAGTAAGGCTTGTGGTTACGTCTGTAGAGGCGGACACAGGTGTATTTTTAATTCTGCACTTTGTCTCCAATGTAGCGATTTAACATTTCTTTGAATAAATGATGCAACTTTTCATTGGAAGTACAATGTAAAAAATGCTTCATATTTTATTTTCTAATAGAAGTGCAGCATATTATGGGACAAAATACATTTAACTCAAACGTTTATTGCATTTGCTACGACTGAACCAAAGTAGTGCAAGATTGTGACGTTTCTCTCCATAAAAAGCTAGAAGGTTTCATGTTAGCTGTATCTCCTACGTGGTTTGTAGAAAACAAAACATTTTAGAGCTTTTTTTTCCTTTTTACTCTTCAGTAAAGGTCAGAATTGATTACTTGCTATGAGACTCCTGCAGGAAGTCGGCTACATTTGATTTTGTTTTGGCTACACTTGATTTATTTTGGGATGTCAGAGTAAAGGGGATTAAATGCCAAACTGTCTGCCACACTTTTCAAATTGATCCCTCCAAACAAAGGAGGGATCAATTGTTTGGATCTATTATTATTATTTCATACTTGCATTTAGGTCTCAACTGCTTCTAAAAACAAACCAAGTACTTAAAAAAACTCACACAGTCGTTTTTTTGTAATAATTTAATGTTTTTTGGTGTCTGGAAAATGAGATGTTTCTAAAACCTCCAGATTGTTAAACCAGACTCCGTGGTTACCTAGCAACCGTACTGAAGCCTAGCTTGTTACCTAGCAACCTTAGCAGAACTCCAGCACATTTGGTCAGCTGATTCTACCCCTGCAGATATTTGGTATAAATTAATTCTTTTAAGATACGTAATATAAATTATTTGTATTTACTCAACATTTGTAGTATAAAAATATTTATACCAATAATTTAATTAATTTCTATTTAAATTAAATCAATAGATTATAGTTAAAGTTGAATATATTAATTGTCACTTTGTTGCCATAATTTTTAAAATCTTTTTTCTGAGCGTGTTTTGTTGTTGACTTACCATTCATAAACCACCTGCTACATTTTTGTTGGTTGTGCAGGAGGCTCCACTTCTGCTTTTCAGAGAGTGGAAAAGCACTTTCTGAAAAACAGAGAGTGGTGTTATATGCACACATGCACATGTAAATGTGCATGTGTTTGCAGTCATTTTCAAACAACTCATTCCGGTCAGAACCGATCAGACTAAAATATCTTTATCTAATAATGGATTTTGTGCAAAAAAATATATGTTAATAAAACCTGTTTTTACCTGTCCTGACCTACTAAAGGAAGAATAATAGGTCACCTTTTAAAAAAAAAAAAAACAGGTGCCATTTTCCTTCCGCTTTATGATTATGCTTCAGCTTTTGTTGGTTTGAGATATAAAATCCCAGTAAAACTCACTGAAGTTGGTTGCTATAATAAAAGTTTAAAGGTTGGGGGAACTTTTCCATGTTCTTCCTCTTAAAGTGGTTTTCTTTTCCCCAGGCTGATCAACAGACTAATCGTCACCACTAGACAAAGATCTATGGTTCATGTCTGGATTTATTTGCAGTCGGCTGCACAGAAATTCATAAAACAGACATGTAAAATTTATGAGCAGCCATATTTGATCTCGTTCTGCGCACACGGTCACTGGTTTCTGCAATAACACTGCAGCCTGAGGGAGGCTGTAAATGTCGTGTCCTCATTTAGATTGTTTTATTTTCTTAAACTGCAGGATCGTCTTTTCTTCGTGATGGAGTTTGTGAACGGAGGTGATCTCATGTTCCACATCCAGAAGTCCAGGAAGTTTGAAGAGGGCAGAGCACGTTTCTACACGGCGGAGATTACGTCTGCCCTGATGTTCCTGCACAGCCAGGGCATCGTCTACAGGTCTGAGACAAAAACTCACCTTTAACCCCACAGACATAAAACATCAGGTCACACAGGAGCCACCGGGTTACAGAACATGTGCTCCGAAATGTCGTATTTAAGAACAAATTCTTTCCAAGATTAAAATGAAGAATATAACCTTTGAAGCAGTAAAAAGGAATATTCAGACCCGATCTTTCTCTACAATACTCATAAGTTACATTTTTATTTTTATTTTAAAAGCTAGCAAGAAATTGTAAATCCATTTTTTTCATTTTTATGCACATGTTGAGCTTTAATCAAGTTAGGTTGTATAGATGACAGAACAATTGGAGTCTTCACACAATTCAGACGGTTTTTTCAGACAGTTTTTAAAAAATTTTCAAAATTCTGATTTTTTTTTTACAGAATTCTGATTCTTGAGAATTATACCTCTAATCTCAGGATTTTGACTTTTTTCAGAATACTTGATATTTTACAAAATTCTGATTTGTTTTTTATAGAATTCTGATCTTTTTTTTACAGCATTAACTTTTTTTTTTTTTTTTACAAAATTCAGACTTTTTTTTACAGAATAAATTTTTTTTAAACAGAATTCAGATTTCGTTGCAGAATTCTGATTTAATTTTTCCTTTTTTTACTACAAAATTAAGTTTTTTAACAATTCAGATTTTTTTTCACAGAATTCTAACTTGAAATTCAGAATTTAGACTTTTTTCCAGAATTTGAACTTATGATGTCATATATTATTATTATTTACACACTAGTCATAATTTTATGGGGTATAATTTACAGAATAATGTCACAACATATTGAAAAAGTTTCACCAAACGTGTCAATATTTTGACGATGTACCTTCATAAACTATTTAAACATCTATTGTCAGAATCGGTACAGAAACTGTGATGGACACAGCTGAAGTCTGGTTGATTCCCACTTTATGCGCTGATCATGCATGGAGTCTCACAGATGAGATGAACCAGGATGTCAAAGGTCACAGAGAGTTTGATGAGCCATAGTGACTGATGAAAACGTGGATTTATTGCAGCTGCTCTCATTACTCCAATATTGTATAATAAATATCACAATCGCATGATTTCCTAAATCTGGAAAAAGATTCATGTGACACAGTTTTAAGTTCAGTCAGTTTTAATTTAATATTAGAAGCCATCATTAATATTGACAAACAAATCGAGTGCTGTTTTGCACTGTGAGGTAATAATAACATGAGATCTTTTTATGCTGCCTGAAGGAGGTCGGATGGCAGAGCGGCGGCCGTCCTCCCAGTGCATGATGGGAGGGAAGGGGGCCGTCATGTGAGCAAACAGTAGCTCCAGAGTTATATTTAGGTGACCATGTGTCCTGCAGTCTGGGACCGGCGCATCCCACAGCTTCTTTAGGATGACAGGATAAAATTACAACCTACAAAATAAAACTAAACCTGGCTCCTTAATGTCAGTCTATCTTTTTATTTTGTGTCCAAGCTTTAACTTATCTGCAGATATTGCTTCAATATTTTCAAATAATTAATCATTTGGCCCTCAGGCTGCACTTTGGACAACACTGGTTTAGTACAACACAAAGAATTTTTCTCTTTATTAGCCTGTTTTTTGCTTTTATTTTTATTTTGTTGTAAGCCACAAACCTCTTGCCACATTTTACAAAAATCTGTAATATTTTAATTTTAACTTTTAGCTAAAGTTGCTAAGAGCCATTTTGACTCTGGAATCACAGGATGCTGACCCCTGAGTTGGCTTTATTTTCATCTGTTTCACAACCAAACAGCACATTTCAACAATGAAATGTGCAATAAAATGGAGCTAAGAAGAAGAATAGGGTTTTACAACACAGCAAAAAACGTTCAGTTTGTGCGTCACAGCTTTTGTCAGCACTTCCTCTGCTCCTCTTTGGAAATTTTCACATTTGTAAAAGATTATCTGAGATTTTTTTGTCATCCATGTGGAAACCAGGGCCTCCAGTTTACCCAGTAAACACAGGAAACTAATCTTGACTCGACCCTGCAGTCTAATGAGGTTATTTAGATGAAAGTTGCTGGTTTTATTCTTGGTGATGTGCATCTCTGTGATGAACACACAACATTAAAGATGCATCTGGATATTTTGGATTTGCTGGGCGCTACACTTCTAAAATTAAATCTTTCCAAGTACTTTTGGTCTAGTTTCTAGTGCAAATATCTATTAACTAGTCTTCAACCCAAACAAGGTGGATATACAGCAAAAGACACAAAACCCTACAAAGTACTTTTGGTCTAGTTTCCAGTGCAAATATCTTGGTTCACTTGAAATAAGACAAAATTAACATGCAGGTACGTTTTTACCAGCATATAGAAGCTTGTTTTAATAATTTCTTATTTCACTGATTAGACTTTTTTCACTTTATAAGTGAAATAGTCTTACAGTAGAACCAGTACTTTTTCATCAATATTAAGGAATTATTTTTCTTAAAACAAACTCCTATATCTTGCTGAAAATCACTTCTAATTTAGTTTCATCTTATTTTACGTGCACTAAGATGTTTGTTCTAGAAACTGGACCGAAATTCTTGATAAGATTTTGTGTTTTTGCAGTGCAAGGCTCTGTTTTCCCACTACTTGGTTAAACAAAGAGAGAAGTGCACCGCAGGAGGTTGCGTCAGTGTTACACAACCTTCTTCAAGCAGAAAAAAGCAACCCAGATTAATCAAACCCAATGAGTGCTTAATCAGCAGTCAGCCTTTCAGCTGCTGGTTGCTGCATTTATCATCTCCTCCTTCCATGGAAATCACTCACATCTTTTCCCGCTGGAAACTAAAACGTTAAGTTTCCTTTCATTGTATTAAACCTCATGTGTGCAGCTTCAAGCCTTATCTGCACAGTGACCTTTGCATGAATGCTGGGTCATCTGATCACAGATTAGAGCTTAACCCAGGAGCCCACGCTCAGCAGCTTTAATCTCATGTCAGATGACAAAGCAGCAGCCGACACGAACATGGAGATGGAGATGGAGATTATTCCTGGGAGGCTTTGAGAGCTGCACTCACCTGACTGACAGGCATCAGTTTCCACATTTATAGATTACATCTTTGCTGCATCTGTGCATTTTACGCTGAAGTTTATTTCTGGATGGTTATATAAAAAAGCTGCATGTAATTTTTGTCGAATGAAGTACAGGGATGATGCTCTCTGACAGCGGCGTCCATATTTTTCACCATCTGAGTCAAAACTGTTGAAAGAATTTGACAGCCACAAAATGTTTTTTACCTGGACAACAATATACAAAACACAATATTTTTACATAGTAGAAAAAGTCGAATATCTGTGGAAAATTATAGATCTGAAACGATTAATTGAATTATTGGTGACTAGTCGATTATTGAAACAATTGTCAACTGATTTAATAACCGATTAATCGTCAACTGGAGTAGACAGACTTTAACAAGAGGCCATTTTCTGACACAACACAAACACAGCAAATGAAGCCAAAACTGTTCAAAAAATAAGTCAATTTTACATTTAAAGTACAGAAAAAACTTTATCGGTAAATATTTTCTTCCCAGAACTCCTCCAGTGGCATTGTTTTAGTTTATTTATTTTAGCTTTTCAAACTTTAACATTTCCAGTATTTTTTTTTTTTTTGCTGCAGATGCATGCTGTGTTGTTGCATTTTAGGCCATAAAATTATTTTCCTTTTTAAAAAGAGGAATTAATTACTCATTTGCATCTTTTAATGTATTTCTAACATTGTAAGAAATTACTAAAATGATAAATCTGCAAAAATTTTATTCGATTAATCGATTAATCATCAGAATAATTGATAGATTAATTAATAACTAAACTAATCGTTAGTTGCAGCTCTAATCTGCAAACTAGGTTGTAAATATAATTTTTTTTCTACCATCTTTGGACATTCTCAGTTTTAGTTAGTTAATTGTTTTGTTGCTTCAAAAAGGATTTTCTCCGTAAACAAAGACTAAAGTGAAATTTGCAGGAGAATCTGGATAAATATTGACTTAATAAACATAATTTATTGTATTAGACAGTTTGTGATCATGTTCTGCTTGGTTGAAATGTTTTTATTTTTGTGTTTTTCTGTTTGTTCTCCCTTGCAGGGATCTAAAACTGGACAACGTCCTGCTGGACAAAGACGGTCACTGCAAGCTGGCGGATTTCGGCATGTGCAAGGAGGGAATATTTGAGGGCGTGGCCACCGGGACGTTCTGTGGGACTCCGGATTATATCGCCCCAGAGGTCGGTTAAAGCCCTCAGATTATCGATTTTCAGGATTAATGGTTGGTTTAATTTATTTGTTTATTTTTGTGTTTGGCAAAATTCTCCAAACTAAAGAGTCAAACGGATGTTTAAGTTCACAAAACATTCCTTATTATAATCGACAGCGCTGTAATTGAAGAGGAAAAGGGGAATTATTTCTGTTTAGGATCAGTATAAAAACTCTGAGCTCATTTTTTCATAAGTATATTTAATTATAGATTATTTGTTTTTAAACTGAATGAGCGCCATTCAGCCTCCTGCAGACTTTGAGCTCTTGTGATGCAGTTTTTCCATCAAACCATCTCCGTATGAACAAACATGGGGCTCGTTGCTCATCACTTAAAATTCCTTCCTGACTAACTGGAAGGCGGCGCATGCGGTCAGCTTGTAAGCTTCCCTGTTTGCTCTTTAGGATGCACATTCAGCCACGTGTTTGCTTTTCAGAACCCCAGATTGTTCTAGTCCATGTTCTCATGTATAAGGGATACTATTGTTTTTTTCCCCAAGCAGTCCAGAGTGTCTGGACTCATGAATGGGCCATTTTAAAGTACTTGACCTGAATCCAACATGACCAAAGCTCAGGTTGTGAATATAAATTAACTGCTGAGACTTTCCTGCTCTCCGTGTTTGAACAGGAAACTTTACAGAGCTTTGAAAAAGTGTTTGCATCCTTGTTAGAGCAAGGATTTAGCTTTTATTGAACACTTTTTTTGCACAGTTTTGCTATGTCTGCTTACTGAATCAGGAAATCACTTTTTTATCAAGTAAAATTCATTTTTAGTAATTTTTCTACTTTCATTTTGGTCTCTACTCTTTCTAAAAACAGCACATGTACTTAAAAATGTTTTTTGGCAATTAGTTAATGTTTTTTGATGTCTGGAAAATGAGTTGTTTCAAAAACCTCCTGTAATAAGTCACATTCCATGGTGACTGTGCCGTTACCTAGCAACGCCAGCCAAGGCCAGCCTCGTTACCTAGCAACCCATTCTGAGTTCCAGCATGTTTGGTCAGCTTTTTGGCAGAAATTCCTCAATAAAGAAAAAATGTCTCTATTGTAAATGATGGCACAAGTACAAATACTTCCTAAAATAAGGCCAAGTGGGTTTGGATACATTTTTTTTCCTTAATAAAAGTTTTATCAAATCTGTTTTTGTGCTTGGTGAGAAAAGTAAAAGGTTATTTATATAGCACATTTACAACAACCCCAGCTGACCAAAGTGCTTCACAACAATCACAACGTCACAGGTAGATAAATAATAAAACAAAGAATAAAGTTAAGTTTTTCTAGGTAGGTAAAAATAATAAGACAATTATAAAATTGGCAGAAAATACAAAAATAATATGATTAAAAACCAAGTTATGCTTAATTTCAACTGCAGCGATCTCCCGTAAACTCAAATCAATGAAGTACTAATATCCCACTTTTTTTTTACTGGTCATAAAATGTTTTAATGTGTTCCTTCATGACTGAGCAGGATCTGTTTCCCAGTAGGAAAGATAAAATCTCCACTGGTGTTTCCACAGATCCTGCAGGAGATGATGTACGGCCCGTCGGTGGACTGGTGGGCGCTCGGCGTGCTGCTGTACGAGATGCTGTCAGGCCACGCCCCCTTCGAGGCTGAAAACGAAGACGACCTCTTTGAATCCATCCTCAACGAGGACATCGTGTATGCATCCTGGCTCAGCAAAGAGGCGGTCAACATCCTCAAAGCTGTGAGTTCAAACATTCACCATGAATTTCCCAATCAGTTTTTTTTTTAAGGGGACTTAGTAAGCAAGTTTCACAATATTTGCATGTTTTTGTAGAAGTAGTTGGGTCTCAAATACTTCTAAAAACAAGACAAGCAGTTGAAAAAGATATTCAGCTGTTATTTTTGGCAATAAGTTAATGCTTTTTGTTGTCTGGAAATAAAAAAAACTCCTGATTGTTGAGTCATATTTCACAGGTACTGCACCGTAGCAACCCCTGCCAAGCCCAGCCCTGTTACCTAGCAACCCCTGCCAAGCACAGCCCCGTTACCTAGCAACCCCAGCGGAATCCAGCAAATTTTGGTCGGCTGGTTTTACCACTATATCGCTGGAAAAGACGAGAGTTTTTTTTTGTTCACTTCCTATTCAGAAACCACACAGCAGTATTTCATTTATAGCATGAAAAATACAGCTTGATAAAAGAGAAATAATCTGCTAGTCAAACTGTTAGTTTTTAAGGAACTAATTACTTAAAACAACTTCCTATATGGTTCTGAAAAGTTACTTGTAAATTAGTTTTGTCTGATTTCAAGTGTACAAAGAAATTTGCATTAGAAACTAGACCAGAAATACTTGGTAAGAGTTTCTATCTTTGCACCGTACTTGCTACGTGATTATGCATGAGGTTCCACTTCTGCTTTTCAAAGATGTACAGTTGTATTATTGCACAGCCTTTTTCACTTATTTGGATCTATAGTGACAAAGCCATGAAGCCATAGTTTTGCATCTGTTTCTCAGGATTTTATGGTCCGGGTTTGTGATTTTGTTGTCGAACAGATGGTGTGGTGTTGTTGCAGCTTGACTAGCTACAGTTGGACATTTTCCAGCCAGCTGTTTGGTGTGTTACATAACTAAATTAAGGCATGGTTCAGTTGCCAGCCGTGCTTAAGCTATAAATATGACGCCTCCTCCCCCTTTCTGTAAGTGATTCCACCACGCTACAGGAAACGTCACACCGGCCTCCTGTGTTGATTCGACCTCGGCGGCGGGTCGGTGTGGAGGGATTTGGATGCTGCGGTTCTATTTTTACCTAAGGTTAATTCACTGTAAGGTGCACCGTGGCTTTGTAAGCTAGTTCCCCATAGCCGAGTTGTTCTGCTGTTCAGAAATTAGATTATTTACTTGGTAAAAATCATAAAGTCTGAGTTTATATTTTCACCACATACACCAAAATCTTACCTAGTCTGTTTCTAGTGCAAATATTTTAGTACACTTGGAAGAAGATACAACTTAAAAGTAACTTTTCATTAAGAAATAGGAGCTTGTTTTAAGAAAAGAATTCCTTAACATCGATAAAAAGCACTAGTTCCATTGACAGATAATCTTATCTTATAACATTTTTCCCATTTTATGAATGAAATAATCTGCCAGTGGAACTAGAACTGGGTTGCTAGGTGACGGACTGAGCTTGGCTGGGGTTGCTAGGTAACGGCGCAGTGCCCTTCATTTTGAACTCAGTGGAACATTTTACCAGTGGAACTAATACTTTCACCTAAAACAAGATGGTATGTCCTGCTGAAAAATTATTTGTAAGTTAGTTTTATCTTATTTCATGTGTAAAAGTTTCTGTTTTTGCAGTATAGTACAAATATCTTTGTATACTTGAAATAAGACA